CATTATGGAACTCAGGATTCACCCACTCCACTATGTGGTCAAGATCATCACTTTCTATGATTGCAAGTTGGCCAATAATTAGATCTAATAGAACTACCCCATAACTATAAACATCAATTTTTTCATTCAACCTTCCATAATGAAACCTGGCGGCTCAGCTGTCTGTTGCGGCTGCTCTTATGGTTTTCGATGTGTGGATGACGGTACCCCCACTGTCCGGTGAATCTGTAGGTGGCATGGACCTAAGTGCCTCGTCCCCTACTGTGATGAGCTGACCAGCGGATCCCTTCTCGGTGTAGTCTAGTTGTGTTCCACTCACCTTACGTGCACCGTGGTGGTGCTGTTGTTTTGGCTAGATTGGTCTTCGCCTTTGAGCGATGTGTGATGTAGTCTCATCTGACTTTATGTGATTTCGCTCTAACGCGATGACTTTATGTGACCTCGTTATTCAGCAATGACTATTGTGGCTGCTTGTATTTCTCTATTGAGGCTATCGTTTATTGTGACATATCTGTACTGGTAGCACTTATGCACTTGGCTATTGTATGTTTACTCTTATTTATATGTCTGTGCAAATTTATTCCAGATCAATTTATTGGTCACTGGAGCAATGTACCCAATGACACGCTTGTAATTGTTTGTGTTGATTAATGAAATACTACGCTATTGTTTCTTGTCAAAAAAAGAAAAGAAAAAAAAAGTAATCATAAATCGCTCATAGCTTTGTTTTGTTTTGTTTTTCTTTTATATGACCAAAATTCTAAGAACATGAAATCTAAACATATTCGGGATCAATATACCCCACTGTACCCATAACCGATGCCACAACATGAATCTTATTATCATTGGGAAAAACCATGGACAGACTGAAATTTGCTATTTTTGCATCCAAGTTTTCGCTTAAGAGAATATTGGCAGTGTTTACATCTCTGCGCACAATACGTGGATTGCATTATTTATGCAAGTAATGCAGCCCTGTGAGCCAAATTTCACAATATACATTAGTTGAATTAGGCACATGAACTTACGAAAATATATTGGCGTACAAAATAACACGAAGCACCAACCTAACGCAATATCTAATGCTATCCGATGTCTCAGCTCCCAAGTCATATGTGAGCTTTCTATCTGCATCTACAGCCATTAACATGACACTTCAATATTTTGAAACCCTTTGCTGGATGACAATGCTTATAAAATATAGAACTACATACCGGAGAGAGATTCTTTTAAGTTTCCGTTAGGCATGTACCCGTATTTAAGTGCCAAGTTGTTGGTATCATCACAATATCCAATAAGTGAGGTTAAGTTTCTATTATGAATTCTCGGCAAAAGCTCAACTTGCAGCAACAAGGAGCTCAGCAATCTCTAAAACCATCTCCAATTTAAGGGCTAAAATCTCGTAAAATAGCCTCGTATTTTCAACTAGTCATCTATACGTTTGAGAGTAGTCAGTTTTTTTTCCTCCAACTTGTAAAAGATCTATAATTCCCACCCTCAACTTTATAATTTGTTAAACTTTGTATTTCGTTGTTCTTCTTTTTTTTTTTTTGGCTAATAATTTTGGAATTAGTTGTTGTATAATCAATCTTGTTTTAGCTTTACAAAAAATTTGATGTAAAAAGATTCAAATTCTGAAGAAGAAAAAAGAAGAAATTTTGATAGTGAAATATGAGAAAATTGAATTTTTTTATGGATTAGCAAACAAACGGATGGATTTTTAAAGAGTTTTGAAGGAATTTTGGTGTTGGACCTGAATGGGATTAATTAATCATATTATTTTGACCCTTTTTGGGCTGTTGAATTATTTTATTACTGTTAAAATTGATTAAATTGAATTTGAGTCGCTGGATTTAAAAATGGAAGTAGCCAGGCGCACCACACTGGATCAAAACCCAAGAGAAGAGTTAGCTGGATTTTGAAAAGAGATCCTCTCCGGATCTCTCCCACCAAAACCTAGGAATCCATAGATCCAAAACATTGAAATTTAATTCAACAACTACAAATCGAGGACTCTTGTAAAAGCTATAATAATTACAACTATTGGATCAAATTTTAATAGTCCAGATCTTCGGATCCCTATGATTTGCGGGAGAGATTCGGAGTAGATATCTGTCCCTGGATTTTAATGGCGCGCCAATATAGGTCTGGTACCATTGCTTTCCATGTGCTCGCCCGCAAGGAATTCCTCCACCCTATGTTGCTGACTCGCGTGAGGCCCGCGTGGGCTTGTTTCACATGCTGGCGCATAAAAGCTGGGGGCCTTGGCCCACTTGAAAACTTATCCCCCCGGGGGGGACCCGCAAACCCAAAATTCCCTTTTTCCCACCCTCAAACTACATTCCTCAGAGCTGTTTTGGGCCAAAATTTTTTATTAAACAACCTAACCAACAAGACAAGGCATTTAACTTGCATTCCGAGGAATTAAACTTTAAGAGCAGCTCCACCGGAGCAAATATTGCCCAGCACCCAGTCCAAATAACAGCCCGGCCTGCTCCATATGTGCTCCAGCCCGCAACCTTGCCTGGCACCCAGCCCGTGCCAGTCAAGAGCCCAGCCCAAAATGGACAGACCCATTCCCCGGTCTGTTTCTGGCGCGTGCACAACACGCGGGGGGGGGCGGCGAGTAGCCGACAGGTTTGCAGGCGCGGGGGCCCGCGTGCAGACCCACTTGCAGCGTCCGGGTGAAGGAAACGTGGCCTCCTCAGAGCCGTTGGATTTCCAACGGCTAGTTTTTTAGGCCGTTGGATTTCCAACGGTAAAAAAAATTTAAATTTAAATTTTAAATTGGACCGTCCGATCACAGATCAACGGTCCACGTTTATTTCACCAAAAATATATAAAAAAAAAAAAGGCCCAACGGTCAGAAATTTGACCGTTGGCCACGTGGCGTAATGAGTGCTGTTGGATTTGATTATTTTTCAAATCCAACGGTCCCGATTAATTACAACATTAAAATTTATTAAAAATTAATTAAAAAATGTCAAAATTTTTTAAAAAAATACAGAAAAATTTTAAAAAATTAATTTTTTTTTTCTATAAATACCTAACACTCATCTTCCACCTTACACCACATTTCAATATTTTCTACTGTTTATACGCTCTCCTTGAAGAAGACATTGTAAGAACTCAAGATTTGAAAATGATAAAGAAGAATTCTGAGCTAAAAAAAAGGATTGAGTTTAGTGTGAGGATGGATGTAGGGATGTAGGGTTTATATGGACAAAAAAAAAGAAGATGAGGTTCTGGACAATGCCACGTGGCACTACGTGATTGGTTGAAAATCTTAGCGGAAATCTATTCAAAAAATAGTACGTTCGGATAATGACACGTGGCGTGACGAGATTGGTTAAAAATCTTATCGAAATCTTGCCTAAATTATTGTAAACAGGAAGCGACACGTGGGTTGTCGGGATTGGTTGAAAATCTTAGCGGAAATCTATTCAAAAAATAGTACGTTCGGATAATGACACGTGGCGTGACGAGATTGGTTAAAAATCCTATCCGAAATTAAAACTATTTTTTTTTTATTATTTTATAAAAAAATTATTTAATATTTTAAATGGACTGGGCGCCAACGCATTTTTAGACTAGGTGCCAGCACATTTTTTTTTGGGGTGGAGATGCTTTGGCCTATTACTGTTCATTGAGTCTGTTACTGTTCAATTAAGTGGATAAATGGGCTGGGTGCTGGCGCAAAGTGGATAGGGGTGGAGTTGCTCTAACCGTCAAACCTCTGTAGATGACAATGGAGAAAGTATTTTAACCGCAACTTTCCCTATGTACACAATCCCAAATCCTCCTTTCCCTATGTCAATTTGAAAGTCTTCGGTGATTTCTAAAACCTCGTCATAAGTAAACTGGGACTTCTTTGATGCTAAAGGTGTTTTGTTACGTTTTTCTCCATCTGCAGCTTAAGTAGACAAAAAGACATGAGTTCAGACTAACTGGATTGGAATGTCACTACACCATAATAGCAGCATCCGTTCTAACCGAATAAGTATCAATGGTATAAAATGGTACCTGGCTTTCTTAGTCTTATAAGCTTCCATGCCAATATGAGCACCATAACTAGAAGGAGGGCCACTGCTGATAGTAATGATCCAAATATTGGAACAACAATGTTCTTCTTGCACTTGCTTGAATCTGAGCTAAAAAAATATAAATTTGAAGGACGCAATACCATTTGCTTTCGTTAAAGAAAATGTTAACCTATTCGGCACTCTCCATGAACGACTCTTGCACAGAGCGGTAAGACGAGGAAACTAGTTGAGATCTTCATCTCTATTTGTCTCATTGCAGCCCAAGGACTACCTGGTATTTAAAACCTGCGACAATGTCCCGACCAAAAATGCAGAAAAACGTATAAGTCAGTGTAGCTTTGTAACCTAATGCTGCACAACTTGCACGGCACATACATAATCCGTATTTCACGGAGATGCTTTAGTCTGCATCAATCATTCGATCATGCAATGTTCAAACTAAGAGCTATTTGGTCAAGCCATCGTACGTATTTTCTAGAGTATGCATTTCAAACATTGTTCCTGTTAGGGCTAGTGTGGTACAACCGTACAAGTCAGGGACACAACCCAAAGTACTTTCTTTTTTTTTTTTTTTTATAAATTTGGCCGCAAAGTCCATCCCACTTCAGGATTGCTATCATGGAAGTGACTTTGAGGAGAATTTATTGATAAACAAGAAAAATACAATATGTCAAGGGGGATATGAGGCCAAACCCAGACCATTAAAGAATTCATAACAACAATTCAAAATCTCTTTCAGCAAAACCTATAACAAGGAAGGTTAGAAATGTGAGAAATAAGTAGCTGCAGCACAAGGAGGGCATGAATCCCACTAATGGACACCGGGGTGATCAACACCATGATTGGCCAAACAATCAAGAACTTGATTACCCTCTCTAAAAATATGAGAAATCTAAACCTGCATGGAGGATAGTAAAACTCGACAGTTATGCTAACTAACCAAAAGTCTCCAAGGGATAATGTCAAAGAAGGTGAAGATGATGAAAGAAGATATGAACAACCAGTAAGGAGTCGCATTCAATCCATAAGGAATGCCAACCTTTATACCAATAAAGATACAGCATGAATAACAACGCGTAATTCGGCATCCAAAGAAGAGGCCAAGCTTATTGAACCCGCAAAACAACCAAGAGAATGACCCGTAAAATCCCAAAAGATACCACCAAATGTAGCCACACCAGGGGAACCTCTTGCAGCACCATCAATATTTATTTTGATCCAAGATTGAGAAGGCGAGCGCCACAATAACTCAATAATTTTTGGAGCCTTAGTAGGACGTCCACAAACACCAATAGAATGAAGAATGCAAAGCTCTTTCACAAAATTCTTCATATAGCCAGAATTGAGAGAATCAATTTCAAGGAGTTGAAATTTAATCGCCCTTACAACATAATTGATGGAAACAACCTCCTCATGACAACGAACAGCGTTGCGAGCATGCCAAATAGAATAAAAACTCAAAGTATTTGATCAAAATGATTAAGTCGAGGAAAAAATCAATATAAACTAGTATTCATCCTACACTAATTCACTGCACAAGAGAACCCACATCCATTTTTAACCCACCAAGTTTTGAACATGGGATGATTGAGAGTCGCCAGATGCATTAGCCATGTGTTTTATTCTTAGATTTTTTTTAAGGGTAATGTTAGGAAGATCAAATTTCTAAACCAAATTTTGTTAACCAAATGATGTGGATGTTGATGATTAGATTGTTATTTAAGTGTTGATTAATGTGTTTATTTTTTATTGGTGACATATCATTTGGTTTATAAATTTAGTTTAAAATTTTGACCTCCCTAGTTTTTTTTAAATTTTTTTTATTTTTTAAGTTTTTGATGATCGGAAACTACAAATCTATTCTATAAAGCTTATAACTTTATATATATTTTCCTACTTGCATATATAATTAAATATTGAATTAACTAACATTACTGTGTCAGGCTGCATCTTGATTTCATTGTCGGAGGACACTACGAAAGTCAGTCCAATTTGTTGATTGGCTCTGATTGCGTGATGATTATGATTAAATTGATCACAATATATAATAATTTTATATTATATAATTCTATCATTGACTTTGTTTTATTCATATTATATTTTATATTTATATCATTGACTTTGTTTTATTTCCGTTAATATTCGAGTCTTCCATAGAACTCACCGATAATTATCACTTTTAAAGAAGTCTCATTCGTCGAATTATTATCTATTTTTTTTATCCTTTTACGAAAAAAGTGAGGTCTTATCTCTTTTACATTCATCATATTTTCTAAAGACATCTTCCAAACCCTCTAATCTCAAATTACCCTTCCCAGTTCCCTTTTAGTGAAGCGCCCTTCTTTTTCTCACTCCCATCAAAGTGCTTCCTTTCTCTCAACTTTCATTCCCTTCATAATCTTATAAAAAGTTGCTAGACACACTTTTCCACCCTTTAGCCAAGTACATTTTGTTAATTCTTTCCGCCCCTCTTTCTCGTGAGAAATTTTTATTACGGTCGGAACAATGGTATACCACATATTTTTATGCAAGTGGTGAAAAATTTAATAGTTAAATTATTAGCTTTTGAGTAAATTGTAGCAATGATCCCTCAACTAAAAATCTATTACCATTGATCCCTCAACTTATCAAAATGTGTAGTTATAGTCTTTTTTTCATCAATTTCATCAAAATTTTGTTAAAATAAGTTATGTTGGAATGACCATTTATACAATTAGAGTCTCTCAACTGATCAAAGAACCTCCCAGTAACATAAAACTTTTTAACATTCATTCGAAATTCAGGAACAATAATTTCTGTTTAAAAAAATCGGAACTCACCAGTAACAAGAAGTAGCCCAGATGAAAGCTCCTTAAGAAAAACAACTCTCTTTCCCCTAAACCTTCCAGCTTATACAATCAGCACCGTCCCTGATGTAATACTAGCCCTACATCCAACCAACCAAATTAAAAAAAAATTAAAAAAAATTAATTAATTAATTAAATCATCAAACACCCATTTTCTAATTTCTATATTTGACAACAATTATAAATAAATATTATTAAAAACCGAATGATTCGAATTTGAAAAATAATTAAAATCTGAGAGAAAGTAGAGAAAAAGAGAACCTGAGCTTTGTGGGCCTGGGCTTGCGTTTGTTGGCGAGGGGTTTCTTGACATCGTCGGCTGGGTAGAACTTGGGCGGCTTCTCAGGCTGGGTCTCGGCTGCCGGCTTCGCATGGTGGCGAGGGAAGACGCCGCTGTTTTTGGCCTTGAGAGCCCAAAGACCACGCTTGTGGTACATTTTGGACCTCGAGAACTTACCCACCCGGCGGACGAGATCTGGGTTCCGGATCTTTCTGGGGTTCCTTGCTTTTGCTGCCATTGCTGAGCTCACACAGTCTCTCCGCGGCTTGCTATTTGCGATAAAGAGACGACGGACGAAGTAGTGCGGCGGGGGTTGAAGTACAACCCTAACTTCCGGTTTTAATTTTTTTTGTTTTTGGTTTTGGGCTTTGTATCAATCTGGCCCAAACTTTACTTGTTATATTGAAATGTTCTGTATTATTGAAAAACATTTGAACTTTAAGAATAATCACTTGTAAAAGTAAAACGATTGAGGTCTTGTTTGTCATGTTGTACATAGCATTGGATTAAACCAATAATATGGAATCAATTGTTGAGCACTTATGTATCAAGTAGGCATTTGACTAATTATTCTATTTTGGTTTCACTTATTTTATACGCTATACACACGTTAATTTGTACACTCTAAAATATATATATAGTGGTTGAAAAAATGTATTTTAAAGTCACTTAGTACTAATCTAGTGATATTTCTTTTCACTTGTAACTGCATGGTCTGATATTCAAATCTCGTTGATGACAAATTCAATACCAATTTATTCTACCACTCTACTTAGTCTAAAGCCTCAAACCATGCATGATAACCTCCAAGAAAAATAGATAAGATACAACATTTAGTAACATAATTTGGATTGATTTACTCCATTGAACAAAAAAATGAAGTGAAAACTTGTATACCAAATAAAAAACTCAAAATGAATTACAAGCCATTTAGAAATGCTTCTTTAAAAAATACTTATGCTCATAAGTGTTTTTAATAAAGTGCTTCTATATTTTATTTTAAAAGCACTTCCAAACATGTATAATATATGCAGAAAGAAATACAAAGTAATATGCAAAAAGATCAAAGAAAGAAAAAGAACTTTATGGATATTGTAGTATGTATATATCTTCTTCGTCAACTAGCCGAAAATGTCACCAGTTACCTAGGAAACGGTCCGGTCATGGAATCAACATTTGTGGAATCTGTATACACGGAGAGAACTTCAGGTGAACTATGATTATACGGCCCAAACGCAGCGCGAAGTTCTTCTATTGATCTTGGAGTTCTTTCTCGATGCCTAGACAACTCCATTTCCAAGCAATATTTGAGCTCAGACAATACAACATCCATTGCGACTCTGTGTTGGGAAGTAGAGGTTGTGCACGCCATTGCTATCTCTAACGCTTTCCAGACCGAATGCTCATCGAACTCTCCTTGCATCCTTTGATCTACAATACATTTAAGTTCCCCTTTTTCGAGCTTAGAACTCACCCACGTTGCTATGTGGATTACGTCATCACTTTTTATCACTGCAGGTTGGCCAGTGATTAGCTCTAATAGAACTACCCCAAAACTATACACATCACTCTTTTCATTCAGCCTTTGGCAATTGTAGTATCTGTAAACAAAAACTAATATTCATTAATCACAACGTCGTGGTTTGTATGCGGCTTATTGTCAGTTTAGTGCCCCTTCAATTTTATTTTTGATTAAGAGTTTGTTCCTTGTTTTTGCATCGTATTTTCGCATGATTATAATGGTAATAGAATGAGAAAATCTAAACATACACTGGATCAAGATATCCGGCTGTTCACTTGAGTCTCAATGTCACTAGCAAAAACCTTGGAAAGTCCAAAATCCGCTATTTTAGCTTCCAAGTTTTCGCTTAAGAGAATGTTGGCTGTCTTCACATCTCTGTGGACAATAGGCGGCTTGCATCCGTGATGCAAGTACTCGAGACCTGCGAACCAAATTTTGCATTCCGTTAGTAGAACAATAATTTGTGTAAACATCATCACATCTATTTCACTGAAATAACAGGAAGCACGAACCTTGTGCAGCATCGATTGCTATATGAAGTCTCATTTCCCATGTCATCTGCGAACTCCTTTCTGCATCTGCAACCAATAATGTGTGTTGTGTTCACTAGATTTAAGATGGACCAACATAAACTTGCGAAATTTCTCTATCTTGATAACAAGATTATACCTGAGAGAGAGTTTTTTAGGTTGCCATTAGCCATGTACTCGTATATAAGTGCCAAGTTGTTCGCATCATCGCAGTATCCAATAAACGAGGCCAAGTTTCTATGATGGATTCTCATCAGGAGCTCAGCCTGCAGTCAAGAACAAACTCATCACAACGTGCATCAAACGAGACTAGGCTTGGCATTTACCTTGCATTCCAAGAAATTCTAAATGACAAACCTCTGTTTGGAACTCCCTAGGTCCTTGAGTTGATGATGCAGAAAGCATTTTTACCACAACTTGGGTTCCGTCTTTCATGCAACCATGGTACACAGTCCCAAATCCTCCTTTCCCGATTGAGGTTTGTAAGTTTTTGGTGATATCTAAAACCTCCTCATGAGTAAACTGGCACTTCTTTGATGCTATAGCTGTTTTGTTAAAGGGTTCTGCTTCTGTACCTTTAAGTACACAAAAAATTATCTGTACGCATTGTATAAATTTTCATTCGATCTAGACAACCTGTTTCGAGAGTTCTTCTTTGTTCAAAGTAATACTGTTACAATTTGGGGAGCTACTGAGATCTGTAAAGGTACCTGATTCTCTTTTTCTTCTCAATTTCCATGCTAGCATCAGCACTATAACGACTGCTAGTGCTGATACTAACGACGCAACTATTGGAGCAACAATTTTCTTCTTCTTTTTGCATGAACCCGAGCCACAAAGATTTTCGGTATCCACACTGAAATGAACACAAAAATTCTTCTTATTTCTGTTATTTTTTGAACCAAAGGCTTGTTTCTAAACCAGATACACAAGAAGCGATTTTTACCCCAGTACAAGTAATCCAGCTTCTGATCTCTCGCGAAGAGCGTTTGGAACTGAACCAGACAATTGATTGCCTTTCAAATTCCTGCAGATCAATTCTTAATAATATGGAATTCTAGTATCAAATGAGTCTATGATCATGTAGGGATTGCACTTACAAGAGAGTGAGCGACTTTAGTTCTTCCAAGAACTGAGGCACTGGCCCGGTTAGGTTATTGTTCGACAAATCTCTGGGAAGAAAAGCATTATAGTTAGTAGGTTCTGCAAGATAGTAAAGTGGATAAATTCGGCAAGATGAGTCTTCAAGGAAGCACAGTGAAGAACAATTACAAGGACTCCAGTGATGAGAGATTGGCAATGGAAGCAGCTATTATCCCATTCAAATTGCTTGAACTCAAGTTTCTAATCACAATAAAAGACAAATCGGCTTAGAATTAGATTGAAAAGACAAAGAAATTGTACGAAGACTAGTTCCTTAGAAGGACTCACAGGGAAATAATCCGAGGAAGCGAAACGCTGTAGTTGCATTCTAGTCCTTCCCAAGAGAAATTCCTAGGTCCACAAGGATCACCAGCCCAGATTTTTTTTATTTGATATGTAGTTTTGACGTTCGTTATGGCATCAGCTGCAGTCATTAACAAAACTAGATCAAACAGGACAGATAAAGCTAAAAATTGGTCAAATTTAAGAGAGAACAACCAGCGGTCACCAACATTGTTTCCAACTTAATCATACGCACAGTTCGCTACTATATGTTGTATTTTATATTGTCAGGATTCCGAGGTGGGATTTTTATATTTTTCAACAAGCATTTCTTTTCCAGAGGAAATAAGCATATATCAATACTTGTAAGAATGTTCTTGTTGATTTAACAAAGGAAGACATACCATCTTCACCATAAGTAGGTGATTCAACCAGCTGCATAACTTGGAAAACTTCAACAGCATTCAGAATCGGCGGAAGGGAAGAGTCCTCTGTCTTGTGTAAAGAAATTTCGTGATCCTTTCCCACCAGAGCTCTTGAATTAGATATCACGTCTGCCTGTAAGTAACGGGGAGTGAATGGTCCAAACAATGGAGATCCATTCCATGATATTTTGAATTTTCTTGACTGATTCTTCTCAAGTTTCTCCACTTCAGCAAAGTACATAAAAACATAAAACCGAGCATTCATGTCAGTTGTGTTCCAGTACAAATTTAAGGGTTCACTTGCATTCTGAGGTGTAGCTGCAGTCCGGATTACTTCCAATGGCACTCTATAACCGTTCTCATAGGTAGTAATCGACGAAGAAGTACTAATTGGATCCCAAGAAGGTGAAATGTGACGTGACCAAATGCGATCATAAACATCATCTCCATATCGACCTGTTCCATTGCCTTGTCCAATGTCCAGTCTTTCAATGAGTACTAATGATGCAGAAGTCCCAAATTCAGTACCATAAGTTGAGCTATTAAGCGGTCTAAATTCCAACGCTGAAATGAAAGGAGTTCCCAACCCTTTATTTATTAGACAAATGTCCACGGTATTTGATTCTGCAAAACCTATAATCTCCTTAGTAACAATATCTGAAGCATTTTCAAACCTCACTGTCGACCAAAAGTTGACGCCGAGATAGAGATCAAATTCGGGCAGCTTGTTTTCTCCATCGTAGTTTCCATACAAGAAGGTAGCTCTAATCAAATTCAAACTGCCATTTCCTGCTTCGGGTTTCAACACGTAGCAATTTTTGTTTCCTTGAGGAAAACTCCTGAGGTCTGAGAGAGGGAAAGGGAGGTTGGGATTGTTTGGATACATAAATTCAGAAGAGATGTTCTGGTTTATCCCTGTGTCTATGTAATCTCCATCCGGTGAGTATGTTATGTTCGTATCCGTGTCTTCGTAGAGCTTCGAGGGAGAACCACAATCAATGCTTATGAAGTCTACTCCAAAACAAATAAATGAAATAAGTCTTAGAACTCAAGCAACAAATCGAAAGAAACAGATTCTTTTTCTACAAGTACATTTAGATCTAAACAAGAAGTTACAAGCAGATGCATAAAGAAAATGATCAGACAAGACAACATATCATTTGGCTTCGAAAAAAAAACGCTAACCTATCCGGCGCTGCGCACGAACTGAACTTGCACAGAGCATCAAAAGGAGGAGGAGGAAGAACCCAGTTGACATTTTCATCTCTCTATCTCTCTCTCTCTCTCTCTCTTGGAGCCAAATAATCTGATACTGAAAATGTATGTAACTGTGGAATATTAAAACTAATGCTGCAAAACCTGCTGCAAATCCTAAGAGAACTACAACTTGGTGTTTTAGGTCAGCATTTTTCCGGGTCAAAGCATTTCGGATATATTTTATTTCACATGTGAAATACAACTGTGCTTGTCATAGCCTCGGCCAATCAATTAGTCAGACTAATATTTTTTAATTTTTTTGAATTTTTCAACCTATGAAGATTTAAACATTTTCGAAAATTGGCTAAAATGATAAAAATACAAATTTCGGTGGATGAAAGGGTCACTTTTCGAATTTTACTGATACATGCACAATATTTAATTGATAACATCATCAATATTTGATTGAAATGTTGTTACTTTTTTTTTTTTTATTATTATTATTTTAGCAATTGAGATTTGTAAAATTCTCATTTCAGGCAAATTCCCTTCATTTTATAACTTTAACTGTGATTATGACATAACACAATTACATTGACTAGAATAGATATGCTGCCACATGTGCTCCCGAGGTCGAGTTTTGGACCTGCATTATAGATTAATTTAGGATTGTGTTCTTTACAAATTTATTTTTATTTCTTACACACATTTTTTAATTTTTGATTGTTAAATCGCATGAATTAAAGAAGATCGATGGTAAAAATTAATAAAAGTGTGCGAGAAGTAAAAAATGATTATGAATAGCACACTTTTAATTTAAACCAGGGTGCGACTGACATAAATAGACAAACAAAAGAAAACTTAAGATGTAGCAATTAGTGATTAATTTAAGAACAATACCCAGTTACTCAGATATGAGTAGGAACTTCTACTCAAAATTTCTCAAAATTGTTCGTTATCAATTTATAGAACTTCATGTTTATAATCAGAACCGTTCATATTATAAATCATCCTATAAAGATCATCTCTGCAAAAAATCAATTAAAATTTAGGTTGTTTATTCATCAAAGTGTTTAAAAACAAATGAACGGTATTTGTAAAAGCATTACAACCCGTCTATGCATTTGCTACAATAAATTGACTAAACGACCTTAGTTTTAGTTTGTTTTTTGCAGATATGATTTTTACAGTGTGATTCATAATATGAATGGTTCTGATTATAAATACAAAGTTCTTTGATTAAAATACTAAAAGTTTTAAATAGGAGTTCTTACTTATCCTTGAGTGAGCAATTATTGTTATTAATTTAATAGATAAATAGCACATGAAAGCCAAAACCTTCATGCCGACAAGCAGAAAGATGGTAAGAAACGCAACTACAAATCCAAAGTCTAAAAGGCAGAAAAGGTGGAACCTAAAAGGCTGCATCTTGATAATTTCCCACAGCTTTGCTTATAATATTCTAAACGCAAATTGTGTTTATGGTAATGTCAAATTAGTCGGTATAAGGGAAAAAAATATAGAAGAAAGAATGAAGATTATAATCATCCACTGTTATGGACACACTGGTATCCATGCCATAAAGTATAGGGCCCTGTTTGGCAGCTCGGACTGTACTGACTATTTCTGTCGGATAGGATAAATAGCCACCGGATAGTACTGACTAAATTAGTCGGGCGTTTGGTGCAGTATCGGATTAATGACCGTATTATTTATACTGTGTTTGGTACTGAACCGGATAGGACAAAAGAAAAAAAAAATTAACAAAACTTTCTTTCTTTGTTGAACTTTTCTCATATTTATACCTATTGAAAACCACATAAATTTTCCAATAACAAAGAAAAATAGTAAATTTCATACATCAAATTCAAAATATTTTCTAATAACATAAAAAAAGGTTCACAAAAAACAACTACAATCGTTACGATATATAATCCAACCACATATCCAAGTTCATAAAATATACAAATGCAAGGTAGTTTCAGTAAGAAACAGTTTGTCCAGATAGCCAAAATATATGCATGCTACTTTTAACAAAATATATGCATGCTACAGTTTTTAACAAAATACATCGCAAATTCTTAACAACTGCCTCCTCAAGTATGGAGAGCAATGCATCTTCTTCATGTTGTTTCCAAACCCTTCTACTTCCTTTTGGTTGACTACTTTGTTCACTTTCAATTCCTACAATTACATACACAACATGTGGAACACCCTTTATATTGGCATTACGACATCTAATCAATAATACATATAATTAATAGTAAGTGATAAAAACCATAAGCAAATCATCACACACACGCTGCACGCACACACACACCCTGCACACACATACACACACACACCCTGCACACACATACACACACACACACACAATCTGCACACACACACACGCTGCACACACACACACAATCTGTACACACACACACACACACTCTCTGCACACACACACAATCTGCATACACACACACACACACAATCTGCATACACACACACACACACACACACAATCTGCACACACACACACAATCTGCACACACACACACACACACACACACTCTGCACATACACACACACACACACGCTGCACACACACACACAATCTGCACACACACACACACACACACTCTCTGCACACACACACACAATCTGCATACACACACACACACACACACACACAATCTGCACACACACACACGCTGCACACACACACACAATCTGCGCGCGCACACACACACACACACTCTGCACACACACACACACACACACACGCTGCACACACACACACACACACACGCTGCACGCACACACACACCTTGCACACACATACACACACACACCCTGCACACACATACACACACACACACGCTGCACACACACACAATCTGCACACACACACACGCTGCACACACACACACAATCTGCGCGCACACACACACACACAATCTGCGCGCACACACACACACAAATTCGACCCCAATAGAAAGCCCTAAAATTCAAAAATTCTAATTAAAACACAAAATTACATAATCAATTGCATAATTAGAGAGAAAATGATAACTAGATTCAATCAATTGAAAGAAAATTGCAAGAAAAATAGGAGGGGGGGGAAGAATAGAGGGAGGGGCGGAATCCTAGAAGAAGAAATCTGAAAAGTATTGTGATTCAAACGAAGAAGAAGAAGTTGAGAAGACGAACCTGGGATGAGAGGAAGAGAGAGTGCCTGGAGAGGAAGAAAGAGCACCTGGAGAGCACTGGAGAGCGCAGAGATGGCGAGGAAGACTGCTCTTTCCAGACGCCCGACTAATTTGTACCGTGTATTTGCACGGTATTACTAAGCAGGTAAGCATCGGTTAAAAAAGGTGGGCCCGGATTATTTAATCCGGTGCTTATTTAATCCAAATGATCACCAAACACGGTACACCGTATTATTAGTCCTATCCGGTGTCTTATACGGTGTACCAAACAGGGCCTTAGTAGGTGTTCTAAAATAAATCAAATCTCATCAAAATTTTCACTTTCTTAATTAAGTTGAAAATCGTTGAGTTTCTTAATCATGATTGAAAGACTTCATAGCTATTAGTTACGTTATTATATCAAAAATATTATCTAGAAACATCCAATATAATGACATCTCTAATGAACTTGTGATGTCTATTGAATGGATAACAAATATTTTGAACACGTGACAAATATATATTAAAAAGAGAAATACACTTTTAAACACTTGCCGGGTGGCGCCCCTTGGATTATGCCTTGGTTTATCTTGTCCGGCCGGCCGCACTCAGAAACAGATGCCATCGTTCTCTTTGTTTTGTTCTCTCTCTCTTTCAGTCAATGTTAACCTATTTTTAGGGACCAATACATAAATCCTACGGAGAATACTTCGGGTACTCACTGGGGAGTAACAAATATACTGATTTTATTAAGTAGAACAATTAAATAACGACACATGTTCATTTAATGTATAACCAATCAGCCTTTATTCTTCTAGCCAAACATGTGTTATTCTGCTATCCAAACACATGTCTTCTTCCTCAGTGAAACACTACCCAGCCGTCCATCACAATCCACCATCTTTTCCCACCATCACCAACCAGAGTCGCCCAATCCACCATACTTTAACACACTGATCCATCTCCTTCCTTCCTTCCTTCCTCCCTTGATTTGGTGCTGCCATTGCAAATCTACCATGGCTGCCGTGACGCCGTCAGACCCACCCCCGTCCCCTCTCCACCCATTCGCCTCCCTCATTACTAACATGTTTCCTCTTCAATCCCTCTCTTCTCCGGTGAGCCATTAACAATCTCTCTCTTTTCCGTCGACCCCAAAGCCAACCTCACTCTCTCATGCTCTTCGACGGCAACGATGGGTTAGAAGATGAACAGTCACGGAAGAGAGTGTGAGTGTTTCAGGACGTTTGGTTACAAGAATAACGGGTATATTTAATTTGTTTTAGAATAACATGTGTCATGATACTATTGGGCCAACTATAAGGGTCAGTAAATTGGATTCTCACACTTGGAAAGCTCTTAGAACATCTCCAATGGTTGGGCTAAAAGCTAAATATTTTAGCCCGGAAAATTTAACTTTTAGCTTAGAAACAACTTTTCTGATTCAACCGTTCTAGTTTAAAATTTTAGCTCGGGATTATTAAAAAATGAACTTATGCTATTTTTTTTGTTAAATTAATTTTTTTTTTAAATAAATTTGTAGACTATCGTAAATTAATTTTATTAACATTTTAATTTAAAAAAATTTAAATTCCGATAAATATTGGTTGTAGTCCACTCCGATTTCTGGGCTAAATTTTGGAAGGAATTTGGCATTGGTTTAGCATTTAGCATTTAGCCCAAATTTTCCCCTTGGGTTGGAGGGGGTTTGGGGGGAAATTTTGGGAGGTAATTTTGCTTTTAGGCCACTATTAGAGTTGGTCTTAGAGGTCTGAAAATTTGATCAAATTGTTAATTTGAAAATTTTATTTTTTATGAGATGTCACGAAAGAACTAATGCATGCGTTGCACTTCACATTCAAACAGCATGTTGCTTGAAAAAACAGCATGTTGCTCTATACTCTTCAGATGTTAAAAATGTATATAGAGAGTCTTCAAACATGTTCTACGGAAATGGAAAATTTGATCAACTTGAAACACATTTATTTCGATGAGAATATAGAAGCTTCATTTGGGATGACAAGATTGATTCATCTGCAAATGCTAACTTCTTTTATTTTTGATAGAGCAAGGCGTCATAGACTTGATGAGCTGGGAGGGTTGAATCAATTGAAGGGGGGACTACTTATTGGACCATTGGAACATGTGAAAGACAAGGAAGAAGCAATGAAAACAACTTCAGTGGATGGAACTGGCTTTTAGTAGATAGTATTGTGTTCGGGGTTTGCCTTAATTCCAGCCATATACAAAAGTCTCGTGGGGTCTTGTCATATCATCAAATATTATTAAGCCTGTGATTCAACTTCTAACTATTAGCAATCTTTCCATTCTCTGACATCCTCTCATCTCTTTGTAGCTTTCGCGCGACTATGGAAGGTGGAAAGCTGTTAGAGGTTCTCTATACTTATCCGTTGGAGGGAATACTAAGGAAGGTGGGTACACTTGCTGCTCAAGAAATCAGTCTTTTCCGAGGATTCAAAAAGGAACTAACTGAGCTTCGTCAATCGATAATGGCAATTCAAGAGTACTTAGGCGATGTTGCCTACCAACCACAGGATCGGGGCATGGCAGTTAGACAGTGGGTCAAGAAACTGAAAGACGTAGCTCGTGATGCGGATGACGTCTTGGAGGAAATCAACTACGAAGTTCTCCGGCGTAAAGAAGAGCTTCGAAACCATTTGAAGAATAAGGTACTCAACTTCCTTTCACTCTCCAATCCCATTTTGTTTCGTCAAGAAATGGCACACAAGATTAAGAACATCAATGCGTCGCTGGCGGTTCTCAAGATTGAAGCATCTCTGATTCACTTAGTTGCAAGGAGAGTCGATGCAACCACCCCAGGTATGGGGAACAGGGAAACTGTCTCAAGCTTTGGTGATGATGAAAAGATCATTGGAAGGGAGGAGATTGTGTCAGGTATAATTGCAACCTTGATCGAGTCCAAGAATCAGGAAAAGAACCTTTCGGTTATGGCGATTGTGGGAATGGCGGGACTTGGAAAGACGACTTTGGCAAAATCAATATTCAATGAAGATGCTATTGGTAGACATTTTGATGAAAAACTGTGGGTGTGTGTATCTAACACCTTTGACGTTAATTTGATTCTAGATAGGATGCTCGAGTCGCTTAACTCGGACAAGACTGGATTTAAAAGTCAGGAAGCATTGCTTAATACTCTCAGAAAAACATTGATAGGGAAGAGATATATGTTGATACTCGATGATGTTTGGAATGAAGATGAGACTTTATGGAGCAGCTTGATGAGTTGTTTGTTAAAAGTTAATTCTGCTCCCGGAAGCATTATCATTGTTACTACCCGCAGTACCGAAACTGCATCGATCACAGAGACGCTGCCGCGATGTTGTTTGGGGATTCTATCAGTAGAGGATTGTTGGTCCATTTTAAAAGGTGAAGCTTTTCCAGATGGTAGTTCCACCCTAGATTCAGCTCGTGAAACCATTGGAAGGGCGATCGCTGAAAAGTGTGCTGGTGTACCATTGGTGGTAAAGGTATGCATTAATATATTATCAAAAATTTGCAGCATGTTCTATTGTCATATTTATTTGTTATATTTTAGTTCTATTTATCGCTTTAGTGAATTAGTGAAAAAAGCTATATTTTTAATTTGTGAAAAATTCTAAGTATATTTCTCAATCAAGAGTTTTGAGAAGAGTTCTAACAACAAAAATTGTAAATAAAGTTAAGATTAATTTAGCCATTTTTCTAAGATTATTAGTGAAACTTTAATCAATTGTAAATTTTTTTTCCGTTATTTATTTTGCTAATTTAATTGTTATATATATATATATTTTTTTTTTTTTAAATACGGAAACTGTAACTTATGTACCACCAGGTTTTAGGAAGCATGATGCGTTCTCGAAATAGCACACATGAATGGCTCTCAATTCAACATAATAAAATATGGGAATTACCAAAAGCAGAGGATAGAATCATGTCGGTATTGAAGTTGAGTTTTGATAATTTGAAATCGCCATCTTTGAAGCAGTGTTTTGCATATTACTCAATGTTTATGAAAGATTGTAAAATTGAAAGGGATAACTTGATCGAGCTTTGGATGGCGCAAGGATTTCTCCATACTTCTCCCACAAAAAATATGGAGGATATAGGGAATGAATATTTTAATATTCTACTGCAAAACTCGTTATTTCAAGATGCTATAAAAGATGAGTATGGAATGGTTACCAAATGCAAGATGCACGATTTAGTGCATGATTTTGCAGAAGAAGTATTTAAATCTGAAAGCTTGACCTCGGACCTCAATGAGATGGATGATACACTTGAGATTCAGCATGTTGCAAGGATTTCTTCCACTACACTTGAAAGAATTCCACAAGGGAGTGTTAGAAGATTGCGGTCATTGTTTGTTGATGGCAAGGTCCCTAATAGCATCTTACAAAGGTTTACAGGTTTGCGGATGTTGAATTTATACAGGGCTAAAATTGAGGAGTTGCCTAGTTCAATTGGTGATCTAAGACACATGAGGTATCTGAACATTTCTGGGACTAGAATAAAAGAACTCCCAAAGTCTACTGGCAAGCTCTATAACCTTCAAACGTTAAGAATGTGTGAAACAAACTTTCTTAAAATGTTTCCAACAGAACTGGAAAATTTGATCAACTTGAGACATGTGTATTTCGATAAGGTTAGGAAAGTTCCATTTGGGATGAGAAGATTGACTGATCTGCAAACATTATCTTCCTTTACATTGGATAAGGCGAGCAGTCATGGAATTGATGAGCTGGGTGGTTTAAACCAATTGAAGGGAAAACTTATTCTTAGATCATTGGGATGTGTGAGGGACAAGGAGGAAGCACAGAAAGCAAATTTAGTGGGAAAGGCAAACATACAAAGGTTGGAACTTTGTTGGGGGTTTTCCAGGGCAAGAAACGCGAATCTGCATGACCGGGATATACTAGAAGGGCTCCAACCGCCACCGAAGTTAGAAAGCTTAAAGATTTTGAACTTCAAGGGTACTAAATTTGCATCATGGATGACGGGTGATTTGTTGCCATTCAATTTAACAGAGGTTGAGCTGTATAATTGCACAGATTGTGAAGAAGTCCCAACACTCGGCCACTTACCAAATCTTAGAAGTATTGTTTTTTATGGTATGGATAAGATTAAATGTGTGGGAGTCGAGTTTTATGGTTACAACTATGTTAAGAATGATGGGGTGGCTACAACCAGCAGAAGAAGGAATCAGACGTCCAGGGTGGCTGTGTTTCCAGCATTGAAAAGCTTAAGAATTGAGAATTGCCCAACTCTAAGTGAATGGAAGGAACCGGTTGTTCAGGTAGTGTTTCCCTGCCTTGAGGAGTTGACTCTTAGGAATTGTATGGAATTGAGAAATGCTCCCACTCAGTTTCCGTCTCTCCGGGAGTTGGAAATATTGGCTGTTGATAACACCTTGCCAATAGAAAATATATGCAGTCAAGTAACCACTCTCGCTTCTGTCGAAATATATGGTATTAAGGAGCTTACTTGTCTGCCGGCAGGAGTGGTGGAAAAGAACCACAATCTGAGGTCACTGGTAATCGAATATTGTGAAAAGATGAGGTATTTATCTGATGCACCACACACGCTCCCTCTCCTTGAGAAGCTTATTATACGGCGCTGTCCTAGTCTTTTAGAGTTGACTCCAATTACACGCGGCATACCATGTCTCCGTGAATTGAAAATTGAGTACTGTGAGAAACTGTCAAGCTTGTCTTTTGGGTTAGAAAATTGCAACGCCCTTGAGACGTTGGAGATTGAAAATTGCCCCAATCTAACATTCATTCCAATTTCACCATCCCATTCTCTTCAGGAGTTGAACATATTTGGTTGCCCAAAGTTAAGATGCATTTCAATTCACAGTCTGCCTTCCCTCTGCAAATTAGTTATTGAAAGGTGTACTGCACTCATGGAGGAGGCTGAAGAGGAGGACGAGGACAAGAACGAGGACGAGTTGTCGTTAAATGGTTGCGCATGCCTCCGTGTTTTGGAAATTAAAGCATGCAATGGATTCACAAGTATACTGAGTGGACTTCATTCCTGTACTAGTCTCCGCAAACTGTTTATCGAGGATTGTCCCAATTTGAGGACTTTGTCGGGTCATGGGATACAAACCCCAGTCTCTCTTGAAGATCTGAGTATCAAGAATTGCCCTAATCTAGAGGCTGTTCCTAGTTTAGGCAACCTCAAATCCCTTCGTCAGTTGCATATTGAGAAATGTGGTGGATTAACAAGTATACCAAGTGGGATCGCATCCTGCACTTCTCTTGCCACTTTGTCTGTCATAGGTTGCCACGATTTGATATCTCTGGCAGATCAAGATGTGTCCACCTTGCAATCCCTTTGCTCTTTAAAATTGTCAGATTGTGGGAAATTACAATATTTTCCCAAGGGGCTGCAGTCTCTATCTCGTTTGGAAGAGATGTCAATCGGTGCATACTGGGAGGAGCTAGTTTCTTTCCCGGATTTTCAAGTTCCATCACAACTTGAAAGATTAGAGTTGCTGGGATGGCCAAAGCTCAAGTCTTTACCTCAACAAATTCAAGACCTAACTTCTCTAACATGTTTGTCCATTTATGGTTTCGATGGAGTGGAGGCTCTTCCAGAGTGGTTGGGCAAACTTACATCTCTTACACAGTTGCAAATTCGTGAATGTAAGAATCTGATGTATCTGCCTACCGTCGAAGCTATGAAACGTTTAACCAAATTACATGACCTAGAGATTGATTTGTGTCCGCGTTTGATGGAAAGATGCGACAAGAACAGCGGCCCGGAATGGCCAAAGATTTCCCACATTACAAATAGCAGTGGTAATTTTTTTTCTCCAATTCAGCTATTCATGTATAATTTGTTCAATTCTCTTCGTCACTTTTTGTTTTCTGCTGTATTAAGTATTAATTGAACATATTTCTTGACTAGTTTACTCGCATGACGTATCGGATAATCACTCGGAAGATTCCAATTCGACCCATTAGACGCCCCAACAATCTCGCACATTTGGATATTCATGCTTTTAATCTTTAAAGAGGAATATATGCATAGGCGAGTAGTGCCTGTCCCGATGGTGTGCAAGATTTACTCTTATGCTAATCGTTTCAAGTTCACATTTAAGCAAAAGTAAGGTTTTCATACCACCACCTCCTCTTCTCTTTTGATGTATGTAGCTCCAATGTTGTTTCACTGATGGAATCTATTATATAATTTCTTATGTGGTTTTCAGAAAGACATTTACTCAATTGGAACAACAAGTGATGCGTAATATTTAAGACCAAACGTTGTCCAGGTACTTCAATCCTTATCATTTGAGATATTTACTTTTTTTTTTCTTCTTGAAATCTTGTGTTGATTATGCTTTTACTTCTGAAATATTTGTATGGAATACGGATAGTAGATTTTAAAGGAGTGGATTTTTTTTTTCTTTCCAGAGTGGCTGGATAACCTTGCATCTCTGACTTCGCTGCATATGACGAGGTTGGTAGAATGTGATGTATGATGTATCAGCCTACCGTCGAAGCTTATGCAACACCTAACCAAATTGAGAGAGCTAGAGATTGAACTCTCCCCCTGTCTAAAGGTAATTATTTTCTCGTATCAATTATTCAGTATTTGTTTGTTTCGACGCTGTCTTTCTTTTCTTCAGTTTTGAACAAAAATCTCCTTTGATCAAGATTACTTCAAATCCTACTTGCTTCAAGGTGCACCATTGAGGACTGTGATAATGTGCTCGTGGTTGAAGCTATGCAGCGTCTCGCCAAATTACATGAGCAAGTGATTCGTAATTGTCCCTGTCTCAAGGAAAGATGAGCCAACTAGCCCAAAACAGCCCAAGATTTCTCAAACCCAAACTATTGAAGGCAATTGTTTTCTCAAATCAAATTATTCATGTTTGTTTAATTCCCGTCCCTCAAATTTATTTTTTTCTTCATATTACTGACCAAACGTCGTTTTTCATGCTTCAGTTGACATAATTTGTTGGTTATCAGAAGGGTCTCAATCAATCGGAACATCAAGTGACGTGCAATAGGTGCAAACTCGGTCCAGGTACTTCAGTTCGCTTTCCCCTGCATCATTATTTACTCATTGCTATTGGAGATCATGCAGATACAAGATGATAGTAATCGATGAGAGATACCCAAATAATCATATTATTCATATCATACATTTTTTGCAGAATCATAAGGTCACTTACTAATTTACTAATACGGAGAATACATACGATTATTCCTAGAAATCATTTTGGTATTTGTGTATGGGATGTGTTCAGAGGTTTATTACCTTCGATCCTTAACATATGAGATAAATTTCCCAAGAATTGTTGTGTTAATTTTGTTTCTACTTTATGTTTTGTTTGTTTTCATCTGCAGCTTTCTAGGTCCTTATCTGTCACAGAATGGCTCTCGCCCCACGCTACTGAAACTTTGGTGTCGGTATGGCCTTGGATGCGGAGGAAATTATTCGTTGTCTCACTTGTTAGGAGGAAGATTTAAGTAGGAGGGACATGATCAGTTGGAGGAAGCTAAACCTTCTGCCCCTGAGCTGTAAACTGTGGCTCATGAACTTGTCCATGCTGCTCTAAAGGAGAATTCAGGTTGCCATCGTTAAATTCATCATGATATTTATGTATTGAACCGGCGTTTCAAAAAGAACGTCACAAATCCAACCCACCACTTTGTTGTGATCAAGGATGGATCCACATAGGGACCTGGGAGGTCCCAGGACCCGTCAGCGATCCTAAATCACTGCTATAAATTTTCCGAAGACCCCTCGTACTCGAGCATGAGGTCTGTGCAGGTTGTAGGTTGCAGATTGCAGTGGCTGTCTTCTTCTCGGAGAAGCTGACTGCACACGGAGAAGAAAGAAAATAGGGACCCTTCTTGCCTCTCTCCTCCTTGCTTCTGCCATGGTCTCATCCGTCGGTGCCACCCACTTCTCCTCCAACCTTTCTCTGTCGTCTAGTGGGGGCAGTACATAAGCCCAAATTTCTCCAAATTATTTCAACCATCTTAGTAATTTTTCTTATGGGTGAAATTTCCTTCATAAGGTTTGTAAGATGGATATGATTTGTCATGGGTTGGTGCAATTTGGGGGTGGAGTTGCCATGGCTTTGGGAGAATGGGGAGGGAGGCGGTTGGTGAAACCTCGTAATGGACGTCTGAATTATGATTTTATAATTTGTAATATTGTTTTGCATTTGATTTTTGAATGAAATGTATTATATTTAAATTTTCAAAGTTATTTTTGTCTATAAATTTTTTGACCTTTATAATTGGAATCCCCTGAGTTTAAAATCATGGATCCGTCACTGGTTGTGATGTATGGGATTTGTAGGCCAAATTCTATTGTTACCACGTTAAATCAGCATCTTAAGATTTTAGGGTATTTTCAATAATTTCCTAGAAAGTCTTAAGTGTTAAGAGTTGCCATCTTTTATATTGCTCGCATTGTTTGTTCCAATTTTTGCTATAAACCATTTCATATTAATATATTTGATTTGTATATGTAAATATTCTGACGTTTTGTTTTTATAGAAGGTAATACTTTTTGGTAGAGTTTAAGGGTGAACTTTGTATCACTTGTTCGACGGACTCTGCGTAGTCCTTTGTTTTGCAGGTTTTCTTTAAATGTAAATTCCATCGAACTTCAGTCACATTATTCGTAAATAATATCCATACTCGGAATGTGACGCTTCTTCTCGCTGTCTGCAAAGTTCTTTCTACTCACAGACGAGACAGTTTTTCTTAGAACACTTTTGTGGAAGGTAGTCTCTTTGGTCTGCATGCAATGTCCTCCACCCGCTCTTCCTTGAATACATCATTTTCTTTTTTTTTTTTTTTTTTTTTGTCAAACCTTGAATACATCATTTGAGTCATTTGAAATGTGTGAAGTATACGATTTAATAACAGATCAGTTTTGAATTTTTATTAGTATTTTAAGGTCCACCTTAAGGGTTAGCTGTGAGAACAGCTCATTTACGATTGAAAGGTCACAGGTTCGAATCGTAAAAACAATATCTTTACAAAATAAGAGTAAACATTCTCCCGACCCTCACAAAACAGTGAGCTTGTTGACTTGGGGGTCGCCCAGCCCCTCATTTGAAGCTCGCGCCATCTGGTTTCCTGGTTTCTGTTTTTCCCTCGATATTTGTATTACAAATTTCAGATGTAGATTGGAATACTTCTTTTGGATGTAGATAATCAAGCACTCTCTCCATTTGAGGAATGGAGATGACTCAGATCAAATGAGTATCGTACAAACAAGCACGCCAAATTCCCACTAATCATTACTAGGAGGGAACTGTTTTCGCATTCTAAGGCCTTTTTATTATTATGATAAATGTTGTCACGTTTTTTAAGAGAGAGGATTCTCGTCGGATTCTTTTTGTAAGGATCTCGGGAATCCTCCAATCAAATTCGTTCATCGTACATCGTACGGTCAGTTTTCGTCAGATACTGTTTGTATTCAATTTTAAATAAAAAAATTTACAACGATTTCTGATCGCACGATGTACGATGAACGGATGTGATTTGAGAATTCCAGGAATCCTCACAAAGATAATCGGGTGAGAATCCTCCCTCATTTTTCAAAATTACGTCTTATTGATACTTGATTTTGTGCAGTGTTTCATCCATATGTTCTTCCCAATAAATAAAATATTTAAAAAATAATAATTATTATTATTAAGAAGAGGAAGAGAGTTTGAAACTATTACAATAATTTAAAAAATGGAGATTTGCGAACCCCAAACGAATGGGTAGAAACTCAACATGCTATCCACTAAAATATTGGATCACATGCATCCTAACAAGTAAACTTGTCATTTTGCAATAAAAAATTACAATTACAATTAAAATACCAATTAAGGATGATCTATTATTTGTTGTTACAAACTTACAATTTATATAAATATGCTCTTAAAATTACAATAAAATATATTTATATAAAACAGAAGGGTTAATTGCATAAAACTATCTCATGTTTAGCAAGAATGGAACCTGCTTATATACCCCATTTTTTATAATTCCCACTCACATACCATGTGTCATTTTTAGTTGCAATGTTAACCTCTGTTACATTGATGTCACATCAAACGCATGACATGATCATACTTGAGAACGGATCCATTATGAATCTCATTTTCTGGAGCTTAAAGATCAATAAATTCAGACCATACAAATTGAGTCTGACGTTCGCTACTCATTCCGCTGGCTTATTTCACGCAAATCAATGACTTCAATTTTTCTTTGACATAAATTAAATGCCAGATTTTTTGTCCCTTTGGCTCAAGACACTAAGGTTCGGAGATGATTTAAACTTGTCATACTTCAAAGCGCATAATGCACAAGTTCTTTTCATAACTCGACGCATGAATCTCAATAACACAATATAATCATCATGCACTCCTCCGTGTGCACCATTGATACGGGTGATGCTTTAATGTGCATAAATCCATTTCATAATCAAAATAATGTAGCGTGATTAGCAATTGAATACTTTGAATGAGTATAGTTGCATAAACTATACAATGCACAGATGGATCAAATTACTTGTAACATGTCATTTAATCAATGTATATGACAAATTAAAAGAAGAACATTCCGACCTTTCGTTGTCAATACAAAATCATAAAATCAAACTGTACAAAGTTCAAATCTGTTTATTCTCTTCTCTCCAACGCATGCTCTGAAATCCAACACAAACTGAATGGTTGTTGCCTTGCCTAGTTGGATATGTGTCAATTATCTTGTTTTATGATGTGTCTAAAAAACAATAAAAAAACACACCAACGGCTTAATCATTTTCTAGAATATTTATTTATCCAGAAAAAATATTTAAAAAATAATAAATTGTTGTAAAATCGACGATGTGTGTACAGTGGAATAAATAAAACAAGACACAAAATTTACGAGGTTCCTCTACAGTCAGTGTGACTGGAGTACGTCCTCGGGCAGCAGTGATGCTTTCATTATAATTTGGAATAATAGGAGTACAAAGATAACTCTATGTATTCTCTTTTCTCCTCTTCCTCTCTTTCTTTTTCTGCTCTATCTTCGAAGCATACGGAGTGCTCTATTTATAGAGCAACTCCAAGCACACATCTTTGACAAATGATCTCCACATATCAATATTTTGCCAAGGTTTTCAACCCTTTGGCAATGTTTTCAATGTTGTGGCAGGTATTCAATACTGTGGGCATTCATTACCCACTAGTATTTTCAACACTCCCCCTTGGATGCCCACATATCAACATGAGTTGCCTCGTTAAGATCTTGATCTATTTTGGATGCTCCCCCTTGATGAGTATCTCCCCCTGATTTCAAATTATTTAAGCTGATCATTGATCCTGCTGCTTTAGTCTTTTAGCGGTGATAGTTGCCGAATGAGGTGTTTCACTTGTTGTTAACTTTCCACAGACTTGTTCTTGAACTGGGTTGGAGGGCCTTTCTGCTAGACTTCCTCCAAAGGTCTGAATTTACCTATTTTATCTGGAGCTGAATTTGATTCAAGGGTGGTGGACACTTGATCTTGAATCGGACTTGTGATTTCTTCAAAGGCCGTCTACACTTGATCTTGAATGAAATTGGATCATGAGGAGCTTCATGTGACAAATGATCTTAGACTTTGTCGGGGATGAACTGAAATGTGTTTGTTGTGCTTGTCTCCACATGCTTCAATGTATCATTTTCACTTGCCTTACTTGCTCTCCTTGCAGAAGTGATATTTTCCTTATGCAGGTTTGGCATCTTCTCTTGTAGTATTTGTCATCTGATACAGGAGTGGAATGCAAACCTTGTATTTGAATGGACCATCACTTCTTGGTGGCAGCGCAAGTTTGAGTGGAGGTTCCGAC